GTGGAAATGAACTCATCTGGACACAATCAATCCGGCGAGTAAACGAGTAATATTTAGCTTCAGATGAGGTGAAATCTGAGGATTTAGGGACAGGGGTAATGTATTACAGGCGGTTTTCGGGTGGGGAGATTGGTTGGTGAGGTGGGCATTAGGTTGGGTAAAAATTTCCCAAAAATTTTCAGTCATTTTTGAGAAGTAAGCGTGTTTAAAACGTTTACGAAAATTTGGAAAAATGGAGGGGGGAAAAGTCATCTATTTTTTCCAACCTCAAATTTATGTAGAATAAATTTTTGATCTGATAAAACGTGTATTAATGGCGCAGCGGTAGTGCTATTGATTTCCTCTTGGGCATTTGGCTGATCAATACCCCTAAGGTCGTTTCCGCCATATCGCCAACTTTTGCGATTACATAGAATGCATAGCTATATTCACAAGGCTTCGATGGAGTATCTTCCGGTTTCCAGCTTTGCAGTATTCCAGCAAATTCGTTCCGATTTGTATTCGCTTACTTATGTATTAATAATCTGTCGCTGTTAAGCACTTCAAAGGCACATGAGTGCAAATGCGCGTAGACTTACCTTCAAATAGTATGTACATGTTGCCATTTTTTGCAATGATCTTCTTCATTTCTTGCAATTATTTACTCAAATTGCTGTGAGATTTTAGTTGATCAGTTCAAAATCTTCACGAAATGTGAACTTACGCAAAATTATAATTTATGTTTCAATTTTTAATTTTAAGCAAAATCGATAAACTTACGATTAATGAAAGACAGTTTGTCGTCGTAACCGTCGTGTGATGAGGATTTTTATCGTTCTGCAGATTTTTCTTAGCTTTGCAGATTTCTTAGTGTTTATTGTGTTGTGCTCATAATTTCTACGAAAGAAATGTTTATCCCATTGACAAGTAACAATCCAACTATGTGTGCACAACTTAACGGTGTGAGAGAGTTTGGCAAGATATGATAGCGTGGCAACCATGTGTTTTCTGTTTGCGAATTTTAAGCAGACGATGTCTTTTGATGAGAAATCAAGTTTAGCATAATTATAGCATGCTTTCGTTATCGCTTCCTGAAATTTGGATATGTCGGCGCTCACAAAGCTGGATGACAGATCTGTCTGGATCGATAAAAACAAACTCTATGCAAATCATGTCACGAAAATTTTCAGTGAACCAACATAGTGGTAAAAAATCGTGATCTGTTTTCAGCAGTTTTCAATGAAATACTGCAAATGGCACAAAGTGTTTCTGATATATTGCACTGGCCACCGAAGATTCGCCTCAAAAATTGTGCAGTCAAATGATCCGAACAAATTCGTCGATATATCACATTTCACCGCAGGTTTGTACGTCACTTAAGCTTTAAATATTAAACTGTTTCGCACTTGAGGAGGTTCACACCATTTACTGTCTCAGAATTTAAGAGTAGAGTTTGGAACCTGACTCAAGTTAGGTTTTCTGAAGTCACCGACNCGATCAGCTTCTTTCGATTTCCGTCAGTGACCGCCAGTCCATCCGTAGGCAAAAGTTGAATTGAGAAGTAATGAACGCAATTCGTTCGAAAAGCAATTTTTCGGATTCAAATCTATCATTGTAAAATAGATTTTGTTATAGATAAGATTCGTAATTTTTGTATAGTGGCTCATGTTGATCATGGCAAAAGTACGTTGGCGGATCGCTTTTTGGAGCTAACAGGAGTTGTTACTTCCACACATCAGAACCAAATACTCGATAGACTTCAGGTTCGGATGCTTTTTAAACTTGAAATGGCTCAGTATTTTTCCTGATTTAGTCTAATTTTGTCTTTTAATTATCCCAAATAATGATGTGAAGAAGCCTATAGTAGGTGTGTGTTTTCAGGTTGAACGAGAACGCGGTATTACAGTTAAGGCACAGACTTGCAGTATGATCTATAAAGTTAGTTATATTGTCACCGAAAGATTGGAATGATAATGAAGTTAGGAATTTATGCAGTCATGGAATCCTGTCAGCGATCGTTTTTCAGATCTCATTGCAGAGCTCAGTGAATTGTCAAACGTTTTCACAAACCTGTTCTCAGTGAAGTGAAAAAAATCTTGTTCGCAAAATTTTCTTCGTCGGCATTTTGAACAAGCCAAGCAAAATGATATGTTTTCATGATTCTTATGATTTTATAGTGACCCAAGTCACGTACATCTGCTTAGGGTCACCTGCTGAATCTGATCGATAC